TCCCAGTAGAGTCCCTTTAGGGTTGAAGCCGCAAAGCTTACACCGTGACAGGTGGACGTTGCAAACGGAACGGTGCTCGAGCGGCCTGCCGATGTTCAGCTTCTTGGAATGCACTTTAGCGTTTAAGGGTTTTACGGGTTTAGGGTTTAGGGTTTAGGGAGGGGGCCCCTAGTTGCACGGTTTGGGGTTGTTTAAAGGTCGCTGTGACTGGCGTTCAAGTACAGTTGGGGGCAGCGTCCTCTAAAGAAGACACCCCATCTACCCATCCAATGATGGAGATTCTGTGTTCAGGGCTGGGGCGAGGTTTTAGGTCATAGGGTCCACTGGGATTACATTGCGGTACAACAGCATACGTGGATGTATGTGTATGTCTATATGGACTGATCCAACGGTCCTTTGGGGAAAATCATCAAAGTTCGCATACCCTAAGGGTCCAAGGACCTAAATAGTAGGGCTTTAGGTCCCAAATACCATGAATTGTACAGTAGTTGCGCCCTAAAACCCCAGTATTTGGGTCCTTGGACTTTAGGTCTTTATTGGTTTAGGGTTTAGGGTTTACCCTCACCCTAAAGACTTCTTTTGGCAGAGCTGGGAATTTGGATTTGACTCCGGTTCGGATGGGTCTAGAATGAATGAAGTCTCCATTTCAACTTCCATTGACCGCCAAGGATTACTGGGTGGCACTTTGAGACAACTGATGATTTCCCTTACTGTTGTAGAAGGTAACCAGTTCATAAATCATTGTGTGGTACAATGGGTTTCGGTTTCAATTGACAACCGAGGATTACATATGGGTAGTTCCCAAGATTAGGTCCTATTTTGGTACCCTAAAATATTAGGTGCCGTGAAAAAAATTAAGTTTGAGAACAGCTCGCATCACGCCAGGCCCCTCCATGGACCAAGGGGATGGGTAATGAAAGAGGAACGAGAAGTTTGGGGTAAGGGGGCGCCACACTAGGCGGGGTCTAGCGTCGGGATGTAGGTTGTACAGGGAGGGCTCCTTTTGTGGATAGAAGTTCAAAAAAATCAACGGGGATATAAGAAAAGCTACTCAGTATTATGAGTTTTAGCGTATTGGATTTTTAGGTGTGTTACTGGGTAGCACGAAGCTGCCGGGTTGCGGATCCAAGAGGCAGGTCATTCAGCATATGACAACGTTTCAAGCATTGGGCGATGGAGGTTCAGGACCCTAAACCCTAAACCCAGTTACCCAATTATCAGCGCCCTAAGGCACCTAACGTGGGTATAAGTAGAAATACTGGTTAGAATTAGGTTATAATCACCTTAAGCCTTACATCCTAAGCCCTCAACCTTAGAATTGGCTTATGTAATTTCCCTGCACCTCCAAGTGGAAGCCTGCTGACCCGAGGCTTCTTTTTGTAGGGGTTTAGGGGTTGATTTAGGGGCTTAGGGTTTTTGGGGGTTTAGGATTGTATAGGTCCTGACAAATGGAAATGAATTGAACATGAAATCGAAACTGGTCTTGGAAAGGGCTTGGAAGAGGTTGTTTATCCAAGGGCTCCTTTGTAGTTCCCTTTTAATGTGTGCTATGTTTGTTTCTACGGGATGTTAGCGCACCACCCGAAAAGGACGAATGTAGAAGCCTGAAGAATTCGGAAATTAGCCCTCGAATGAGACAGGTACGTATATACCATACCCTTGAAAAAAATCATAAGGTTTACTTAGGTCGCTGCGTCGCTGAAGACCTTTGTGCAGAGAGTGTGCTAAACCCTAAACGCTGTTGGAGGCAGTGTGAGGCAAGTAGGTGCCGGCGCGCTTAGGCCGATGCAAGTCGCAGATCTCCAGCGGTCATCTGCAGTTAGGGTTGAGGGTTTGGGGGTTTAGGGTCTAGGGTTTAACCTAAACCCCTCAGCCCACTTATCATCTCTATACGTTACCAGCGCTGTCAACCCACTTGCTAAACTGCTACAGCAAGTATCCCTGACCCTAAGTCCGTAGGCGCGTAAACATTACACCTTAACCCCAAACCGTAAATCCACATTCAACAACCTAACTCCCTAACTCCCAGGCCCCAAGTGTTAAACCCAAAGCCTTACGCTCAACATCTGAAACCTTAACTCGTTACAACGGCTCTTCAGGCTTACGGGGCATCTTCACTTCACAGCCGAAGTAAAAAAAGTATACCTAATTATATCTGCCCGCCCAATGTACTGAAAGTATACAGGACACAGCTTTACTATGGCAGAGGTTGTTATTCGGGGAAGGGTATCAAATATGAAGCTTGCGCATGTGCTGAGTATGCTTGAGTATGCCATAGTACCCAAGGTGTATGTTACGTAGGTGCATGCAGGATTTATGGTATTCACCGTATGTTGTAAGTTATAAATGACAAGCATGGCAAACCGAAACAAGGAAATGCATAATCGCCCTTGGGTGAGTCCCTTGATCCAAAGTCCTGGGCCCTGCATATCCCTATAACCATACACGCTACTGTAGAGACCAGTTTCCACACATCCCTAATCCTAAATCCTACATGCCTCAACCCCTAAACCCGAAAACCCTAAACCCCTACACCCTTGAACCCTAAACCCCTAAACCCTAAAACTCTAAACCTCTATACCCTAAACACTACACCCTAAAACCCTAAACCCCAAACCCTAACCCCTAAACCCTAAAACCCTAAAACCCTAAACCCTAAGATCCTAAAACCCTAAACCCTAAACCCCAAAAATCCTAAAACCCTAAACCCTAAAACCCCTAAACCCTAAAACCTTAAACTCTAAACCCCTCAATATGCCCAAGGCAGCTCTTCTCCTACCTCAAGTGGCTCACTATCATCTCATGGTCAGGCACTTTTTGCTGAAAGCTACTTTAGGGTTTAGGGTTTCGGGTTTAGGGTTTAGGGTTTCGGGTTTAGGGTTTAGGGTTTAGGGTTCAGGGTTTAGGGTACTTAGGGTTCAGGGTTCAGGGTTTAGGGTTTAGGGGGTTAGGGTTTAGGGGGATTAGGGTTTAGGGTTCTAGGGCTTAGGGGTTTAGGGTTTAGGGTTTAGGGGGTTTGTTCTAAAGGCCGTTGTAAAGAATGGATCATTGGGAATACACTTCCTAAAAATGGGATGCTAACCAAGCAGGGAACCTACTTAGGGTTTCGGGTTTAGAGTTTAGGGATACATTATGGCCAATTCTGTGGACTGGCTCTTGAACAACTACCACATGCTGGACACAGCCTACAGTAGAGGTAGATATCTCTATCTAGGGATATTAGGGATATAAGAGGGATTTCAGTCGGCCTAGGGTAACCAATGTACCTATTAACAACTCCGTGCAATAAGGTCGTCCCCCAGCCAAACCCTAAACCCTAAACCCGTTTAGGGTTTAGGGTCCAGGGTTGTGCTTTTTCTGTGCAGGCGTTGGGGTGCGCACAGGCGATCCTTTCAGAAATATCGGGTTTCTGCACTGGCATGTTCCTGTTTTTTGTCTTCTCAAAGGCTCAAAAAGGAATTACATTGGAGGGTCTATGTAGAGATTTAGGGTTTCAGAATCTTTGGGTTTCAAGCGCTGTGGATGCGTACATGAAGCAGCCTAAACCTCAATCCCAGAACCCAAATGCCCAGGGTTTAGGGTTTAGGGTTTAGAACCTATCCGGCGGTGCCCCGCTTCCCCCCGTTGCGTAATAATCATGTTTGCACATGCCGCGGCAGCAGCTTATGGCACTCGCAACTGAAAGCGTGACTTCTCTCCTTTACAAGCCACTTATTGTGACTACGGTGTGCCACCCTCCAGGCTTCTAGGCACGATGCCAAGACGCCTGAATCTGAAGCCCTTAGTCCCAAACCCACGCACCCTCAATCCTAAACCCCTGAAGCCCCAAAGCTCTTCATACTATGCAGTTTGGGGTTCTAGGGGTTAGGATATAGACCCATATACTTAGATAACCCCGAACCTGAAACGCGAGTGCAGGCTACCCGGTTGTCGTTTTGTTGGGCCGGGCGCACTTCGGTGTGATCTCCAAGGGCATGGAAGATGCTCTACTTTGCATTCTGGATTGCATCTCCAAGATTGGCATGGAGTTTTTCGTAGTCTTTAGCTGTTCTGCAGAGGGCGCTCAGTGCCACGCCAAAGACAAATGAAATTTTCATGGCGCTGCAGGACAGACTCCATGCAGGTAGGGGTCTATAGTCCCCCTTAAGTACATAGAGTATGGGGTATATGAGGACCTTGTTGTAAAAATACCCAAAGTCATATTCTATCTACTTAAGGGGGACTATACGTTCTGGTCCTGGATTCCTTGTAGAACTACGGTTAGGGTACCTCAAGTAGACCATAAAGAATTGGTTATTCTTTGGTCCCCGGTATTACGAATTCAAGTAGAAACCCTGAACCCAGAACCCTGAACCCTAAACCCTAAACCCTTGCCGATCCAAAGGACGGAACGTAGAAACATGGTTGCAAATACCTAATTTTCTTAACTCCGGAGGCTCCTTCACCCACGACCTGCAGGTCCCAAAACTTCACGGACCTCTGCTATCATCTTACCCTAAGGTTCCAAGGACCCAAATAATAGGGTTTTAGGGCCCAAATACTATATTGATAATATAGTATTTGGGCCCTAAAACCCTATTATTTGGGTCCTTGGACCCTTAGGTTTCGCAATGCCCTTTTTTGGTCAGGCGGCTCTGACCTATTCAGTGGGTATCCTTTTGACCTTTTGAGGTTGTGGATCGAACGCCAATAGAAACCAAAAGCTTAACCCGGACAAACCTAAAACCCCAAACCCTAGGTAGAATGGCCCTTACCTCTGTCGAATCCCAAATTACATGGATAGCCGGTTTTTCTGAGCCCTATACTATATATATATATATATACACATATTTTCTAGGGTCTGTAAGGACTATTTAGAGACAGCTGGCCACCTAGGATTTTAATCAGGGTTCTGTGACCCTAAACACTCACCACTATATGCTAAACCCGTCAGGATCATTCATTATTAATTTTCCTAGACCCTCCTCCTACTCTCTATTAGAGCCTAAGTACCCATTATTAGGGACCATATATCCCCAATTTAGGGTACAAGGAGGGTCCTGGTTCTTTATTGCTCTAGGAGGGAACCTGCTCAGAAATAGTTTTGGGCGCCTACAAAGCATCCAGTCAACCTAAACCCTACACCTATATCCCAGAAACCTTCCAACCCTAAACCCTAAAAACCTAAACCGTAAAACCCTAAAAACCTAAACCGTAAAGCCCTAAAACCCTAAACCCTGAACCCTAAACCCTCAACTCTGTGTGGGTCTGGAGCCTTTGGGGGGGTGTGACGGTGCATGGCATCTTGTTTTGCTTAAGCCCCTTCGCTGATCTCTGGCTCGTCATGGTGTAGGGCACAGCTTGCAAAAGATAGGGTTTAGGGGTTTAGGGCTTAGATATACACACATATACATACATGCATATAAACATATATGCATGCATGCATACATACATACATACATACATACATACATACATACGTACGTACATGCATACATACATACATACATAGATACATAGATACATACATACATACATACATACATAGATACATACATACATAGATACATACATACATACATACATACATACATACATACGCACATACCTACATACATACATACATACAGACATACATACAGACATACATACATACATACATACATTACATACATACATACATACATACATACATTACATACATACATACATACATACATTTTTTTGTTGTCACCGCCGTGCGCGCTGTCTTGCG